ACACACACACACACACACACACACACACACACACACACACACACAGTATCACTAACATCCAGCTCCTGTTGAGGTGTAAATCTCGGGCTTACCATGTCAGCCACTAAAGCCAGGTGGCGAGAGGCGAGCTTCACACTGTGTCTAAACCAGACTGCGTTCACAATCAGTTTATTGACAGCCGGACGGACCGGAGCCAAACACACACTTCCTATTTACATGACACACAAACGGCACATGTTAATGCCGTATGGCATCTTTGAAATAATTCTGTTTTCCTCCAGCTGCTACAGTAAATAAAAGGTCTAGTGAACAGACTGAGTCGAGCAGCTTCACACTCATTTCCTTTTAAACTTTCTGGGATGTAATGAGGCTTTTAATTTTACACTCTTCACACCAAAAGAAGGAGAACTGCCTGTTTAGTGATGTCGTCCTCCGCCCTCAGCACAAAGTATCCTGGGGAATGTAGGCTCTATATTTCTTGCTCCAGGATACACAGACAGGTACGGGCAGGAGACTGAACCTCCATAACACCTGTCAGAGGATCCTGCAGTCAGAAATTAAAAAAATAAATAAATAAAATAAGGAGCACGCTCTCCTGGTCACTTTCCCTCGGGCGGCGAGTTTATTCATTCTGCTACAGCATTTAACAACTGCATTCACCAGGTGTCTCTGTGTGACTGGTGCCGCGGTCGTAAGTCTCCCAGTTGTCAATGTGTCTCGCCGTCAGCCGCACGAAGACGAACCCCTGCGCAGTTATTGCTGCTTTTGGGAGGCGGTGGTGATTCTAAAGTCTCATTGGACGGTGGGAAAATGGGCGGTGAACTGATTGACGGACAGCGAGAGCGGAGCCTGAATAGATCCAGTCGGTCAAGCAGAAAAGCAGCTGTGTAAGATGGAAAAAGAATAATCCAGGAGCATAATATGAAACCAGTGTTGTCGTTGTTCGCAGGGAGACAGACAATGGGACGGCCATGTTCTCTCATCTACTGAGGCCTTGTTCTCTGGGTTTCAATTAGGGCCTCCTGATTTCCCCAGGGGCCCCTCCCTCTCATGGAGATGCCTCATTAACAGAGGAAACACACACAAGTAACCACACACACACACACACTTACCCCTGACTTCTCATCAAAGATCTTGATCCCTCCAAAGGAGACAGTCAGAAACACCTTCTGTTTGTGTTCTCCTTTAGACCGTGCTGCTGCAGCTATACCCTGTGGACACACACACACACACACACACACACACACACACACACACACACACACACACACACACACACACACACACAGAGCAGATCACAGTGTTAGAGGCAGGACAGGAGCACATGCACAGTGTGATGAGGAGGTAACTCCATAAGGAGCTGCTCGTGGGGGCGTCAGACCTCTGGATCTAAAAGACGATCTTCTTTGTGCATAATGTTTTTTGTTTTACAGACCTGTCGACATCAGGAGCAATAAACATCACATACTGGAATCACTTTATAACCAGACAGATTAAGAAAGGTTCAGCAGCCTCCTGAGCTCAGTACACTGAGGGAGGCACTTTGACCCACAGGTTAGAGAGCGACATTATTTGGAAAGATGACAGTAAACGGTCTCGTCTGGACGCTTTGAAACATTCGAAGATATCGAAGGTGGGAAAACAAATAGCACATGTCCAGTATGAAGCTACATTTACTCTGTTCAGCTGAAACTTGAACTGAGAGTTCAGGTAGTTTGATGTGAGGAGCTCATCTATAGTTTAGAGGAGCAGCAGGAGCTGATGAGGAGCTGCTGTGGACGGGGTCATCTGCAAAAACCTGTTTCAGCCACAAGAAGCTAACATCAGTTGAAGTGTCGCTTTATTTTGAAAATTTTCACTGCTTCATCTTGCCGTCAGACAGACCTTTACTTTGGAAGTACAGTTTGTGAACGACCGTATTCCTACGCACAAGTGCAACCATCGTATCACTTCATAGATCAGCTGCTTGAGCTGAGCTTTCCAAAGTAAAAGGCTGTAAGGCTGAAAATTTTCAAAATAAAGCGACACTTAAACTGACATTAGTTTTTTTTCTGTTTTTCAAAGTGGTTAAAACCCATTTCTGCAGATGACCTCGTCCACAGCAGCAGACTATAGATAACTGCCACAACTCTCACTTTAATATCATATCTTAAGACTGCTGAACGGCATTATGGGAAGTGTAGGTAATCAATAACTTAAGCAAAGTTCAAATGCAACACCTCATGACAAGAACTGAACGTATTCTGACACTGGTTTATAACTAGGACTGAATCTAAAGGTGCAGTTTCCCCTTGACGTTCAGCCCACCTCCTCTCACAGGTGAGGCACAAAAGAAGAAGAAGAAGGGGGGGGGGGTGTGAGAGACGTGCCAGGAGAGGGAGGAGCAGTGTGAGAGAAGAGGTGGAGAGATCAGAGAAAAAGAGTTGATGGATTTCCTGTCTGAATAACTGAGGAGGAGGGAGGCTGTTTGATCAATGAGCTGTCTCTCCTCCTCTCACCCTTCTGGGCCTCGGCTGGACAGTTTTCACTGCACATAAACAAACCATAAATGTAATTTCCTCAATTTGAATATATCCCGCAGTGACTGGACCCCGTGTGTTACATGACAATTAATAATGAATGAGGCGCTCGTCAAACTCTCCGTCTGCACACACTTACAGTCGCAGAGGGAAGAGGAAGAGGTCCGGACGGTTCGGGGACGTTTGACATGTTCATGAGGGTAAATTAATAAAAACCACGCCCTGTTTCTCCTCATCATCCGAATGATTCCCTGCCTATAACCCTCCTCTCCTCTGCTGTCTCCCTCTCCCTCTAATTGTTCCTGTCCTTGCAAATGAGACATTTACCCCGATCTCCGTCTCATCCATACGGCTGACCCCCTCACTTCCTCCTCGTCTTCCTCCACTGTCCAATGTTCGCTGGTTTGTGGAAGTTAATGCAGCTGTAGTTCAGTTATGTTCCATTATTTCTGGGTGTTGAAGTCACTTCAGCTTTACGCTTGTGAATTAAAGGAGCAAGTAAACTCTTAATTGAGGCTCCATCAGCAGACACTTTCCTTACCTTGAGCTTCATCATCGAGTCCTGGCAGAGTTTGTCTCCCCGGGCGGCGGTGACCTCGTCCAGGCCGATGAGCTTGGCCTTGTAGCGGACGCCATCGCCCTTAAAACGCCTGATGAGAGCTGCCTCGCTGCGATCCTGCCCTGCAGACACACACACACACACACACACACACTGCAGTCAACAGTACATCTTCCAGTCAAGGTCCTCCATCAGCCTCAGACCAGGGCTATTACCTCAGGACCATCAATCACATGGACCACGAAGACCTCAACAGTAATCTTACAAAAACACAGGCGCGGCAGAGGTCAGCGCTCCTGACGTTAGCAACATCTTATTATGCAACAGAGTCCGATCGGAGCATTGAACTGTGGGATCATGTGAACGACAGCGGTCAATATATTCAGACACGTGAATCAATGAAGTTCAGAGCTGAAACTGTGGCTGTTCTCCTGCAAAATAATGCTGTGACATTTTGCTCTTATCTCCCCCGTCTCCTGCAGCCCCCCCCCCTCACCCCCTATTGTGTGGGAGATTGTTGGTATTGTGCGCATGCATTAACGAGTGCCGGCGATGGCGCGCGTTATGTTGACCTTGCTCTTGTCCAGGAAGTCTCTGTGTCACCTCCTGAAGTGACGCCGTCGCTCGTGAGGCTGAAACTCACTTCCTCTTTTACCGCCGCGCTCTCTCCATCTTTCTCTCACTCGCTCTCTCTGTCTCTGACCTGCAGTGCGCCAGCGTTTCATCATCAAACACTGTATAGAGGAAACATTCCTGCATCTGTGTGTGTGTGTGTGTCTCTGCATTGTGTGCATGTGTGAGGGAAAGACTGCAAGAGCGATACTGAGAGGGAGAGGCATAATGATAATGCAGCATATTCAGATAATATATTGAGGCATTAGTTCTGTACTCTATAACAGCGTGACTCTTGGAAGGTCGTAGTCTGAGTGATGGAGAGGTCCCACTCCTCCTCTCCTCGTTCTTTCACACTCCCTCCATTCTCGCAGGATCCCTACAGCACTGCAGCAGAATCGAGCCCTTTAACCACAGACCAGAGCTTTGTGCTGTATGACGCTACTGAATCATCTGTGTCCAACACTGATGTGTCACCTCCCTCCTCCTCGTCTGCCGGCCCACACCGACACGCACATGTTAAATCTGCACTCGCATCACCGCCATTAAATCATTGTACACTGGATTCTAGAGGCTGGACCGTTTCAGGATAAAATAAACCAGATTCTCAGGCTGTTGTGACAACAGCTCCACACTGTGACAGCCGCACATCACCAGCTGTTCAGGCTGCTGGAGATCAGCGCCTCTGGATCCTCATTTGTTCTGAAGATCTTTTCCCTTGTGAAGGAAAAGACTTAAAGACAAATAAAAAGTCCTCACTCTGTTCTCCATTAATAAAAAATAACACCTGCACACACACACACACACACACACACACACACTGTAGGGTGTGTATGAGCTCGTTCCTCTGAGTCACTGAACACACACACACTCAGCCACAGTCCTACTTGGAGTAAATCATTACTGTCTGCATCAAAGTCCTCAGAGACCAGACAGCTGAGAAACATCTGTCCTTATTTTGGAGAGGGTGAGAGGGAGCGGCGGCAGCGGCGGCAGCGGCGGCGCTCGCTATTGTGTCACGTCTCAGTCGGGCTGAGATGAGAGTAAGTGATTAAACCACCGGAGGATTGTTCTGTTCAACACAGACATGTTTGAAGACGTTTAAATATTGCCTTCATTAAACTTAAAACAGTGCTGTGAAACAGGCGAGTGCACGTGCACACAAGCAGCGATGATGACACCCCCCCCCCCCCCCCCCAACACCCTCCATCTCTTCCCAATGCGTCAATAACATGAAACGTTCGACTGCTGCTGTGTGTAAAAGAAACGGCTCATATTTCATTCACATGTGAACGAGCTGAAACAGCAGCTGAAAACAAACCAGGAAGTTCACTGTCAAAGTTTTACTGTCAACAAACAAGTTTCCTTCACACTGACACAAACAGCTCACTCCTCGTTCATAAAACATCAGCAGAGTCAGATTATTTAAATGTTTTAAACCTTTAATTTACTTTGTCATGACTATAACCAAACAGATGACACTGTAGATGTGACGTCATCATGTCTAAAACAGTTAAAGCTCCATGTTTCTTCTTCTTCTGTGTTTTATTTGAAGTGTTGATCCATCAGAAGATATAAAAACCATCTCAGTGTAGTTTTACATCTCCTCTCTCAGGCTTCTCTCTGGAGCTCTAGTAACAACAGGTCGGTGAGCCAATCAGAAGAGAGGAGGCTCTGAGCCTCTCTTCTGATTGGCTGACTGTTTTCTGAGTGATCCAATAAAAATAAAGCAGATTTCAGGTAAAAACACTCAGAGAAACCAAATCCTGCAAGGTTTGGATGGTGGGTCCAGGTGGGCGGGGCTTGGTGACTGCTTTGTTGTGACATCACAAAGTTCCAGAAGTCCTGACGGCTGGTTTTAAGGCTCAGTTTCTGAATACAGGCTGTGTGCATTTCTCTGTGGACTGAGGCTTTGATACTTTCACAGTATTAATATAGAAGCTAGAGCTGATCTATAATCACACTACACATGGACACAGACCTTTACACTGGAGGAGCTTTAAATTATGATTAAATGAGATACTTTTAATTACACTAATGGAACAGCTACATTTCTTTAATTGTAAAACACAAACTTGATTTGATTGTTTGAAGGGAATCCTGCACTGATTCATATTTCCATGAATATTTTATTCACTAATCTGAGGATCCATGTTGTTTATTGTTACAGTCAGCTGTGTGTGTGTGTGTGTGTGTGTGTGTGTGTGTGTGTGCAGTGTATGTAAATGTGTGAGTGTTAAATAACAGTGAATGATTCAAGCTGCTCTCCTCTCACCAACACAGTGGTTTTCATTTGAGGTTGACATTTAAGACCAGCTCCCTCCATCTGCATCCATCACCATTACTGCTGCTATACTTAGCACAGAGAGGAAGAGGAGCAGAGGGAGGAAGAGGAGCAGAGGGAGGAAGAGGAGCAGAGGGTGAAGTCAACAAAGGCCAAGAGGGGAAGAAAGAGAGAAAAGGTAGAGAGGGTCCGGGGTTATTCTCCTGCTGAGTGGTTTATATTATTACCTTGTGGGAGCATGTTCCATGAAAAGCCTCCTAGTGTGTGTGTGTGTGTGTGTGTCTGTGTGTGTGTGTGTGTGTCAGCAGGGGAAACATTCAGTCTGCTGTAATTAAATGTCTGCTATTGCTGTGACCCCACTGAGCTTCAAACACAACTAATGAAAGAATCTTCCATTTCATCTGTCATGGCTGCTACACACACACACACACACACACACACACACACACACACACACACACACACACACACACACACACACACACACACACACCTGCACAACCTAATGTATAAAACCAAACACTAAATATGACAAACCACACCTGTAACACATCTGGAGTTCAGCTTTCTATTCTAGAGTAAAACAGTTTATACCTTATAACTGTGTGTGTGTTTGTGTGTGTGTGTGTGTGTGTGTGTGACTGTCTGTCTGAAGCAACAAGCAGAGAGGGAGGGGCGACATTAAGCGCAGAGCGAAGGATGGAGAGGAGGAATAGGATGTGATGGATGGATGAATGAGCGAGGTCTCCATTGGATAAATGTCACTCAGGATTAGAACGTTATGACAGGCAGAACCCCCGACTCCTACACACACACACACACACACACACACACACACTTCCACAGGTGATAGATGGCGGGTGACTGCCGGTACAGTATGTGTAACCCTTCAGGGAAGCCTCTAGCATCGCCTCTGGCAACTGTAACCTCCTGCCTCCTCTGTGCCCCTCCATCACTCTCTCTCAGCTGCTCCCCCCTTCCCCCTCCTCCAGCCCCTCTCTGTCTCTCCATTTGAATTACATACATGTTGATATCAGATTTATTTTTCCTCTGGATATATATTGTGAGACAAAAAGATTCCAACTCACTAGGACTTGTTTTAGCGACAGCAGTGAAACCTGGTGAGATGTGAGTGAACGAGAAGAGACGCTCCGGCTGCCGTGGCGTGAGATGGCGTGGATGAAACGGAGAGATAGCAAAGGAAACAGACACGTCGACCGGTGTCTTTGTGCCAACTGCTCACAACTAAAGGCTAGAAGTTCACTGCATGAAATCTTTTAAATTAGCGACGTCAACGTTAGCGACTGATTCACATCAAGTTGCCGAGCAACACTGTTTTCCATGCTATGACGCTAGTTAGCACGCAGTTCCCTCCCATTATAAAAAATATATTACAGGCTACTCTTCACCACCTCACCTGCACTTCTATCATTTCACAGCTCATTACCAAAAAGTTGCCCGGTCTTCAACTTTCTCTGACGCCCACGCCGCTCAAGGCGTCGCTCGCTGCCAAGAGGCGCCGGCTCACGTGGAGAATGAACGACTTCCGGTCACTTTGACGTGAAGGAGAAGCTCAAACTACAAGTGTAACACCCAGGTTATACGAGGGTGGATTTTCCTTTCAATCATCAATGAATCTTGTTAGAACTGACCGTTACTATGACGACTTCACAAGCTGATATAAAACTCTGCTGGTTTGAACTGGTTCGCTGCTGTCCAGACGTGTGTCACATGACCTTCAGTGGTGCAGCTCCTCTGTTCAAACACAGCCAGGCTGTAGAGCAAAGTGTTTTAAGTGTCTAGTTTCATTAGACCTGTGGTTCCCAACCTTTAACAACTCATGTCCCACGTGAAAATGTTGGCGACCCCATAACAATACAGAGGTCATGTGATATACTCTCTGAGCACTTCTTATTTTAATGATGACGATCCAACGTTCAGGACTCAGAACGTTTGCCACGTGTCGATTCACCTTCTGTCCCGGGACTCTCTTTCCTTTTACCTCTTCCTGTTGCTGACCAGCTCATCATCTCCATTCTCCAGTTTTTGCCGTGGATGTGAGATAAAAAGTCTACAGTTCCAATCATCGACTCATCACAGTGGAAACAATGAAAGCAGTTTTTAAACATTTTAGAAATATTTAAAAACATTATTTAAACATATTTTTACATCTTTTCACCCATTGTGCTGCTTTGAAAATGATTTGTTGGTCCACTTGCAATTCCT